CCGAAGGCGGTGGATTGTTGGATTGCGGGTCGGAGCGAGCTTCTAGCGCCTTTGTCGCGCACTTTCAAGCCACAAAAGGGGCGCGACATCAACGCTTGTCCACTGATTACTACGCTCGGGATGGAACAAATGAGCGTGCCGTAATCCTGGATTGTGCCTTTAGTATAGCAGATGTGGCGATTTCTGATGACTGCTATGGTGCTCGTTTTATTAAGAACAGTGAACTGCTCAAAATACGTCGTCTATTTTTTGTGAATTAACTTCTTGGACGATCAACGAAAGGGGGTGCCCTATTTCATCGGCATTGCTTGCTCCGCTACCACTTCTATAGCTTCCCTTACATCATGGAAGCATGCAGCTTTATAATTATCGACCTTGGGTTGCTCCAGTGCTTGAGTAGGAATAAGTTCCAACAGATATTTTGATACATTAATGGCAAGCTATTTGCTATGAATTGCAAGCTTGAGGTGGATCAAGCCAAATGTGTACGATAAAGTGCCTATTTGGTGTATTCTTAAGCGGAACCGTGGCTACAAATGTGGTCGTTGGTTTTCGGGCTGCAGTTTTCAGTGGCTTGAGCCGTCAGCTTAACAATTTTTTTGGTTCGTAGTACATTTTTGAAGAAATCTTGGTAGGTTTTGTGAATGGTCACCATTTATTCCAACGGTCTCCTCTACTGGTTCTTTCTTACCGTTGGTGCGCTGACACTGTTGTCATTCAAAGGAAGCGATCACGCTGGCTTCCATGTGGATCTGCTACCCTCGCGTTATCAACCGATAAGGTGTGAGATACAGTCCATATCTCGTCGTCTAATTAGGAGTATCTATGGATTTGATAAGGCCGTCACCGCACTTGATGGAAGTCGTGTGAATAAGCTGCTTCCAGCATGCTTTGCTGATATCCAGTGAAATGTGTTAGAAACAGCTTCTCTGCACGACTTCTTCCAAAAGCGGCGACGCCCACATCAAATTCATAGACACACCTCATCAAAAAGTCGTGCACTGACCGTAGCTAATCAATAGACAAGTGTAAACCCATGGAAGCTGTTGATTACGAATAGTTGATAAGAATTAACCAAATCTATTATAAAAGGATAAAGCATTTGCCGTTGATCAATCCCTTTTTGGGATGCGGCACGCATTCTACTTCCATTTGTACATTCGCAGTGGCATTTGAATGCGATGTGGCCTATACAATGACTTGCGGGGGCCAGCCGATGTTCAAGTCAGTGTTTTTATCCTCCCAGACAAGTCTGGTACCAATTAACCGACCCCGGAGGGATGGAAGGCTTGGTTGGCCCGGGCGACTCACGACCCAGGATTTGATCCCCGGACCGCTCGCGTGGTAAGCGCGCCACTTGTCACTACCACTTCCGCCCTTGCTATCTATTATAGTAGAAAATAAATAAAAAAATAGTATAATAGTATGAAAACGGCTAACGGGATTGGAAGGTGGGTCACATGTGGCGCGATCACATTGGCATCAGTACTACTCAATTACTAGATTTCAGTAATTGATCGAACTTATAATAGAATTTCAAAAATCTCGTTGAGTCTCAAAGATCTGGAAAAGAGCGGATAGCTTCTGTTGGCCTGATGCCAAGGCAATCGAAACGGAACGGTATGTAGCTCCTCTATCGTCTCATGGGGGATTAACGTTGACATTTCCTTTACAATGTTTTCTCCGGAGGTTTCTTCCATGATGGCTAGATAGGGGCGGGTGGGACCGCTCGCGCAAAAGGTGAAACTGAAAGTAGCGGTGGCAGTTGGTTTGAACCAGTTATGATAATATAAAAACGATATGGTATCTAGTGCACGCTGATCGCTTATGCTTGATCCGTCATGTTGCTGCGTTCCCACCCCCTCATCGGTCTATTCCTGTTACCGTATCTAATCCAAACATTAACCCACTGAATATCATTAAAACCCATATTTACAACAGCAATTGGCGAAACTTATGGGACATGGGACAGTAAGCGGGCTGTTTGATAGCTTTTTTGGCAGCGAATGTGCGACGAGACACGACTACTTATGCGTAAACGACATGTACATCTATTAGGTGTAACACTCAATTTCAAAAGGCCCTGCCCGAAATATTTCCGGTGCATTTACGGTTATACAAGATGTCGGCCTGATCTCCGCGCTGGGAGAACGCCACAATCGAAAGCCTTGTAGCTCATGTGCGGCTAGCGCGCGGCGCTGGTCATTTGACCGTTGTCTTGGCAAGCTGCACCGCAAAGGGCCGGTGGTGGTGCTTTCCACCACCATGCGTTTCAATGTGCTCGCCGTCCCTGTTGAAAAGTGAGGTGTTTGTAAGGCTGGTGTCAGAGTCCGCGATCCGTCGCAGGTTTCGCTGATTTTCACGATTTTCGATTAGCCCGATTTGCGCGATTCACTCGATTCATGCGACGGGTCACGGAACTCACAGTGCCCTACCAATAGTGCAAGGTGTTCTCCAATATGCGGCCGACCATCTTCTGCTTGGATGTCGACAGCTGCAATGACGACTGCTCATGATTCCACTTGTTTCATATTCAGTGTTTCAAATGTTTACACACTTGCACTTTTTGCAATTCCCATCGCAGGTTTCGCGCAAATCGCGAAAAACCAGCGAAACCTGCGACGGATCGCGGACTCTGACACCAGCCTAAAGGAGCGTCGCTCTCTTGCCGTTCAACTACAGAAGTTATCATATTTACTTATCGCTGACGTTGCACGTACCGAAACCCTACATAGAATTCTAGCTGGGATAACTCTCTTTTTCTTCTTATCTGATATTTTTTGACACCAGAAACTTCAAAAGGAAGACTACCACGTGTTAAGTTCTCAAATTCACGCTCCGGGAATGGCGGAATGCGACATCAACTACCACCTGAGTGGTTCCACGCTAGAGCACTATAATTGGCCAGAAACTAGCCAGAGGAATACTTACTTCAGTACGCATTTGCCGCTTGATAGGCCTTCTGTCCAGCATTTTAAAAGGGAAGTGCAGCTCACGGTGATGTATAAATCTGGCGAGCCTGGTTAAACAGTTGTCATCCAATTTACGCAATCGATCATTTGGCCTGAAGTGACTGTGCTTACTCAGCAGCATTCATGTATGCTGTTGATACAGCTCCCCAAATGCAACCTGACTATTCCTTCAAAAATGTGATATGAATAATAAAATATAAATATAAATGACAAGGATATTATACGTGCTTGTTCTTTCCATTGTTAGCATTGGGGTTGGAATATCGATGTTAAAAGAAGTCACCACTGAGGTAAATATTTCCAAAGAAACGTAGAGAACTAATTACAAGTACGATCATGTTCGCCGTGGCGAAGTTTCGAAATTTCAATTTTTGTGTGGTTCAAAGCTGGAAGTTCATTTCTCAACAATATAACAGTAGTTCATTTCGTGGCATTGCGTTAAAATGAAGTTTTTCTATATCATTTTTTCGGGAAGATGTATCATTGTTCAGTTCATAGTTATTGAGTGGACCGCAGATTTGAACTATATGAAGCCATAAAGGAATAATGAATTCAGATCTAGTTAACGGTTAAAGTATATAGTAGTTCGATACGTAATGCCTTGAATATATGTCATAGCGGGGTCTCTTCGGGTGTTAAGCCGTCTTATCTCTTCTTGTATGTCGTTATTGATTACAGGTGCGGTCACTGCAAAAAGCTGGCTCCCGAGTTTGACAAGGCAGCAACAAAACTGAAGGCGAATGATCCTCCCATCACCCTCATAAAGGTGAGTTGCGGCAGCTGACGTTTATCTGCTCCATGTTTGGGACAAGCTTCACGCATTAGAATAGATTGACCTTTCATTCAATCTGAGTGATGGTTAAGCACGAAAGTGTGAAATTAAATTCGGTGGTATTTCATTCGGTAGACGAATTCGGAGGGGAGTGTTCGGAAGGAAGGAGCTTAACAAGAGGAAATCAACTTATGAAGGATTAGGCTGCTCTAAGTCTTCAATGGGTCGATAGCGCGTCAAGCGCACTGTGTGAATTTAACACCTCAGGGATTGTAGTCGGCAAGGAATTGCTGGAGGCGTTGCCCATTCAGAATTATTCAGAAGAGAGGATTTGATGATGTAACGTTTCCTGTAGACAGAGGGCATTCATCTTAGGAAGACCAAATTAGTTAGAAATAGTAGTACAGTAGAAATGGCTTACCCTCGCGCCCGTCATGGGACTAGTTCGTAGAGAGAGGTAATACGCAAAGTTGAAAGCTGGTGGGTTGTTGGTGTCTTACTGATCCTATTTGTGCCTCACGCTCATCAAGTGATATTGCTACTGCCGACTGATCATCTCTTCACATCTCAGCATTGCCTCCTGCATTTTGCCTTAGCTAGTGCTAGCTTTCTTTCATTTCCGGTAACGACCAGTTTATGACTTCTTGGGTGAGGACGAGGATATGGGCCGGTCTTGTGGGCTCCAGAGTGTTTAGGACTCTAGCATTTACTTGAACTGCTTTAGGTTGACTGTACTGTCGAGAAGGCCACTTGCGACAAATTCGGCGTGAAGGGATTCCCAACCTTGAAGATCTTCCGTAATGGATTAGAAGCTCAGTCATACGATGGACCTCGTGAAGCAGACGGCATCGTAAAATACATGCGCGGACAAGCGGGCCCTTCAGCTAAGGAACTCAAAACAGTGGAAGAGTTCAAGAAGTTTGTTGGAGGCGATGAAAACGCAGTTGTTGGTAAGTGTCTCAAGATTTCTTTTATTTTGGTTTTAACGAAATTTTGTATTTGTTTTTATGACATTGCTTGTTGCAGGTTTCTTCGAAAACGAAAGCAAACTGAAGGATTCCTTCCTCAAGGTTGCTGACACCGAAAGAGATCGGTTCCAATTCGGATATTCCTCAAATGCGGCTGTTCTGAAGGAGGCTGGCTACACTGAGTATGTTTGACTTTCTTTACTAAAGAGCTGGATTTTAAATTACATTTATGTGGAAGTAGATGAATTTAAAGCTTGCTTCAGCAGGCTCAGTAGATACCTGACAATGTTTTCATACATTCTACGTTGTAAGAATAACCAATTAATTTATTTGCATATGTGCTACTGCGCAGTTGCTTATATACTGCACACGACTTTCAACATTAAATACTACACGAAAACAAACACTTGTAAACAATACTGTAATTCACTACATGTATTTTTAAACTTTAAACAAAACGTAATAGTCACTTCACTCGAGGTCGAAATAGGTGAAATTATGCGCGCAGACCGTATACTTGGTGTGCCTTTGCAACTTGGTCATTCAATCTAATTAGTTTCAAGAGAATATAAATCACGTTTGTGAAAACATGGTGAGGACGTAGAACCACGGTAGTTTGTACACAGCTCAACGGTATTATTTGATACACCTTTGATTGGCTTGAGGAACTCATCGGAGGTGAGCCCCCGAAAGTCTTCGAACTGCATTCGTTCAACGCATCACAGCTTATCAACGAAGTCATCAATTTATCAAGAGATACCTGGTTGTGCATGTCACATCACGGTCGTCGGTTCAATTTGATGCGACCATGGATTGCGTCTCTAGTATGACATGGCACCCGAAAGTCTTGGCCTCTATGTTTCATTGTGTGAATCGCCCGTGATATCTTCCACGGAAAAGCTCACTAGCGGCGCGTTGCGATGCGTGCTGGGTTGCGTCACTGCGACGACGCACTTGACAAGAAGTCAGTGGCCTGCGTTGTCGCTAATGTCTAGGTTGTGTGGTACATTATAAGATAGCGTAAACTAGCGCCAAATTCATGTTTCTGAACTCATTCTTCTACCAGCTGCACCTCGGATTAGGTCAATGTTGCTAAGACAGCAACGCTTCCCTGGGCATTTGTCAACTGCAAGGTCTGATATTCACTTATTGAGATGTCGGCAATATGTGGTTATTCCGTGAATAGTTAAAGGGGCATGTCACGATAAGTTGGAAGTCGAAGAAGGGTAATATACCTATATGAAAGGAAGGCGGCTCTGGATGCGGCTGATGCGTGTTTCGCAGCGAAGGGAATGCCAACAGGGCCTAGCGAAGCCGTGTTTGCGCAGCTTTGCACGCTCGCCGATAAATAATCCCCTCGCCTTCCGACTCCAGCCGTCAATCAGAGAGAGCGAGCGTTGAAGTAGGCAGCACCGATGAGCGTCGGAAATCAGCGGGCAAAGAAGAGGTCCTCTCTTGAGTGAGCAGTTTCTCATGATTTTTTCTCCATCGCTGCGCCACTGGGGCCGGGATCAGCAAGCCCCAACTCGAGGATGAGTCCCCCGCATCTCTGGCTTCCCTCATTCCGTGTTGTTGTTGCTATGCCATACAGGTTGTTACGGTGGAAGATTTATTCGGTCGACGTTTCGAACAATTCGTCGTCTTCAGGACCTTACTGCTACTCCACCAGCGCCACGCAGCCAACCAATTCTCAATAGATATGAAGAATCATATCTTATTTTCATATCTATTGAGAATTGGTTTGCTGGTGGAGTAGCAGTAAGGTCCTGAAGACGACGAATTGTTCGAAACGTCGACCGAATAAATCTATTCCACCGTAACAACCTGTATGGCATAGCAACAACAACACGGAATATACAACATGCCCAGGTTCCAAGAAGACCGAACATGGAAGCTTCCCTCATTCTTGACCAGGAGAGTTGCGTCATCGACCAGAGTAGAGACTCAGCGTTTTGTCGACCCATTCTTGAGTTGGGCCTTGATGTACCCGGCACCTGAACACTTCTGTCTTGATTTGTAATGGACTGCCTGTTCATCGTAAACTCCGCCTTTAGTCAATCCTGACTAGAACAACATTCAAAACTCAACAGAGAAGAGTTGCAAAAACACGTTCAGAAAATGGCAGTACAGATGAGTATTGCTCGTGTTCTAGCCGCACCTGCCATCGCCTTGACTTCACCCACTACGTGACGCCGCTTGGTTTCTGCCCCCCTCCATCTTTTGTGGTGGTAGTGCATCAGATCATAGATCATCAGATCTTCAGGGTTGATACCTACCCATTACTAGATTTGTGACTCCTCTCATGTAGGCGGCTCCGCCTCCTCTATGTGTTCGTCGAATGGGCGACTACGCTTTGAACACAACGGTATCTCTGCGAAAAGGCCGTTTTGTCTGCAGCAAATAATTTAATTCAAACAATATGAGGAGCCTTGTCATATGTTCCCAACCCTTTGCTGCAGGATCTGCTATGCTTCTTCTGGTTTTATCTTCTTATCATGAAAGATTCGGAAGCGCTACAGATGCTTGACTGGATACGAAAAAACTGAGTTCATTTGCAACTGGCTAATGTTGCTCACTCACTGTCCAAATTGTTGCACCGTCTTTCTTGTCGTCAGCCAAGCATCGGGTGGCACTCGCGTTGGCATCGCCTTTCTGGGAGTTATGATGTTAGGATTTTGGGGCGTATATGTAATGTTGAATGATTTCTGATGAGAATCTGGTCCGTTCTATTTCACGCATTTCATGCAAATTGGGATTTGGTCATTTATAGACCACATAGTCAATTGAAAAAAAGATTGAGTATGATTCCTATAATCACCAAAACCGAGCTGATAGTTTTCTGGACTACCCTCATGTTACGGTGCAACGGAGAGCATGTCATAAAGGAGAAGGCCCAAAGAAAAGAAACAGGAGATACGACGCAGAGGAGTTCTGTTGTGACACTGTCAATGTTCGGCTTTCGAACTTGAACGGAATAGGATTTTCAATATGAGCGCCTTCTAGAAATTAGCCGTTGAAGTCTGAAGTGTCTGGCACCAAGCAGGCAAGAACTAGTTTGGTTATCCTGCGCTTTCGATGTTGCACTGCAAGGTTAAGTCCAGTTCCTATCATAGGCAAGTGTTGCGTGCGATGTATGCTTTACTGACATGTCAGCATTAGTGTTCAGGTACCAGGGAAGGGTACTCCTCATTGTGGCCATGGTTGAACACTCACTAGCTCAGCATCGAGCTTTATTGGAATTGAAATTATCTGACTGGTCTCTATATTTATTAACTGGTTCAATAGACAGACAGCACCTTTTTGGAGATACCTATAATAGTTTTTTATTGCATAGCAGTTACATAGTTTAAAAAAGTCAGAAATACATGATCCTTTGAACTCATCGCTCTGTTAAAAAAAGTAACCCTTTTGTTAAATGGATTCTCTTAATTGCTAATATTTAAGCGATATTGTGGTTTACACGCCAAAGAAACTTCACAACAAGTTCGACCCCAATGAGTTCAAGTATGATGGCAATTACGATACGGATAAGATTAAAAGTTTCCTCATCCACGATACTGTTGGAATGGCCGGTATTCGTACAATGGGCAACCTGTTCCAATTCGAGCAGAAACCTCTTGTGATTGTTTACTACAATGTGGATTATCTAAAGGATCCCAAAGGTGTGCATTCTTGTGAACTAGTTTATTTGGGGGGATTTTAATCGTCGAGTTGCTCAAGTGTAACGTTATAGGGTCAAACTACTGGCGAAATCGCGTGCTCAAAGTAGCGCAAGATTACAAGAGGAAAGTCCATTTCGCTGTATCGAACAAGGAGGAGTTCACTACCGAAATTGATCAGAATGGTCTCGCAGAACGTAAAGATTCGGATAAGCCCATCGTCGCCGCTGTCACCAATGACGGCAAATTCCCTATGGATGACGAGTTCAGGTAGGACTTCTAAAGATAAACCCTTAGGAATATCTTTACCACTAAAAACAACCTTTACATGCTTGGCTAACTGTTTTTTTTTTAGCGTAGAGAA